GTATGGTAATGTTCTAAGCCAGGAAGGACCTAGTCCTGGTCCTGGAACTCTACCATCTTGGAGAACTGATATCCATCACACTGGCTGCTCTCGAAGGTCTTCATTACCCACATTAGGTGTGTTAGATTAGGATTTGAGGCTGGCAGATCTCCAGCACCAGGACTGGGCACCCTTGTTCTAAAGCAGTAATATTTTTTTTTATATTTTTGATTGTTTAAACTTTATCTGAATAGAAAAGCTGATGTGTACAGATGTGTGATGAATGTTCTTTTGCACAGAAAGGCACATTTGTGTTAATGTACACCTGGATGAAGACAAAGTGTACCACATGCCATGCAGCTGCATCATTTAGAGGAATACTCCAGCATTGGTCAGCCTAATCTCTACTGAATTATACTGTTGACGACCACAGACAGTAATTTTGTTGTGTTTTTGTGCACTTAAAAACAACCTGAAAACCTATTAATTCAAAACATACTGCCAGTTTCATCCTAACACCTGTACTTTGCTCTAGTTTCAAATTCATGCTATATACAGCACTGTGCAAAAGTCAGACCACCCTACATTTATTCCGTTTCCAAACAAAACAGCCGTTAAGTACAAACTGTTTATGTTTCAGTAGATATTTCTGATGAGATTATATATAAGATAATCTATTTGCATAATGAAGGAGAAAGTCGGGCAAAAATAAGTAAAAAACGGAAGTTTCCAAAATTAGAGTATAAAAAATTAAAAGCTACAGAGAAAGTTGAACTCCTAACAACCACCTGGAAGACCTGGTAAACACCAAAACTGCCCCCATCAGATAAACAGCACTTAAAGCTTTCATCTTTGAGAGAGAGGAGAAAATCAAGCTGCTTCAGATCTGAAAACATCCACAGGTGTTTCTGTCCATCCTTCCACTGTGAGAAGACGACTCAGCGCTGTGGGTCTGAAAGGATGTGTAGCTGTTCAAGAAGAACCTCACTGAGAAAAGGAGATGGACACATCAAACAAAGAAGCTGAACAATGGACTGACCGCCCCAGAGTCCAGACCTCAACACCACTGAATGTGTTTGTTTACTTCAGGAAATGATCAACCAGCTTTTAAGACTGAACTTTGAGGTGTGTCTGCAGATTCTTTGAGGAACTGAAAGTGAGTCTCCTGAAAAGAATGGAAGCTGTAATAAAGATGAAGAGTGACTCACTAAAGTACGGAAGTCCACAGACGCTATGAGGTAGTTATAATTTTCTGGATTGTTATCTTGAGATGACGAGTTAATTATTTTTTTTATCTCAAGAAAACAAAGTTGTTGTCTTGAGATAACAAGTTAACTATCTTGTAATCTCAAGATAACAGTTGTTAACTTGAGATCACAATATAATTAACTTGTTATCTCAAGATTACAATCCAGAAAATTATAACTACAGGTCACGGCCTCTCTGGACTTCCGTACTAAAGATTGAAATTTTTGATATTATAATTAGTTGAAGCTATTTTTTCTGCTTTTTCCCCTGACACTAAAAATAAATATGTATAAATATACTTAAAGTCCGTTTTCACTGGAAATTCATTTGTTTGTGGAGTTCAGCAACAGCCCATTGGCTTCCATTGTGAGTTTCATGCCAGTATGTATGCTGTTCTTTAACAAACACGATGCAATGTTTTGAAATGATTGTCTGTGATAATCAGTAGTTCATTATAAATGTGGCAGATAGACATTGTGTTCAAAAATACTAAAATAGAATATTCCTTTAAATCACAGCCTGAATTGAGACCACAACTTGGCACAAAGTTGCACTTTGAAATTGTATTGATAAACAGATCTGGAGCTGCTTGTATCGCATATCTGGACTTTATAGTTAGGAAACTTTAATAAGATTAAAAGATAAAAATAACCAAATCACCAGTCGCTTAATAAAATCTGAGTAGAAACTGATCCCTGATTTTACACCCATGACCTCATATCTACCATCTGTAACAGATGCAGTAATGAATGACTTGCAGATTTGTTGCTTTACTTCATTTAAAATGGATTTTCCTTCACATACTTTCAATATTCAGCTGCTTCTCATTAGGAGTCTTGCCAAAGAAGGCTGTAAGGCGCATTTGGGTGCTGGTGGACAGAATGTGAGTGTTGCGTAATTAGACTGGACCGTGACTCGTTCCAGAATGTTCCTGCGTGTGGATGTGATACAGATTTATATGCCTGTGTTGTTCTGATTTGCTGTGTTGTAAGTGTCCCCAACACTAAGCCTAGACTTCAACAGATAATGCACTGTGTTAAAAGGGGAACTCCACCAATTTTTCAAAATTTATTCTTAGTTAAATCAGTAAGCCATTCAGATGGTTTGATGTGCTTTGATGTGAAATGCTCTGTTCTAGAGAAACTAACCAAATCACAGATATTCTCAGTGGTGGTGATAGGAACCAGACGTCTAAAGAGTTTAATGCCTTTAAAATCTCCCTCACCAGAACAGTTACTAATATATTGCCTGAATTCTGAGACATTATGTTATGATTGTTTTGAACACTCAAAGAACCCTTTGCATTATTTGCATAATGAAAGGGTTCGTCAGATTGATGGAGAATGTGCTGTGGATGGTTCTGTGTAGGACCTTCTCGAAAAGGATTCTGCTGTTGTTACAAGCTTGACATTGTAACAATAGAAGAACCCTTTTTGGTGCTATGTAGAACACTTTTCTTAAAGGTTCTACATAGAACCATCTACAGCACTTATTTGAGTGCTCATGGTTTTATATAAAACCAGTTTTGTTACTAAAGAGCCCTTGAAGAACCATCTTTTTATACAAGTGCACTAAATTATGCTGAAATGTTTAAAAATTGGTGGTGTTCCCCTTTAACCCAGGCAGTATGTAGTGTATCACACATTGTTTGGGCTAAAGTTTAGTTTTAAACATCTTCATCAATCTACACTGATCAGGCATAACATTATGACCACCTCCTTGTTTCTACGCTCATTGTCCATTTTATCAGCTCCACTTTCTATATAGGTGCACTCTGTAGTTCTACAGTTACAGACTGTAGTCCATCAGAATAGTCCACCAACCAAAAATATCCAGCCAACAGCGTCCTGTGGGCAGCGTCCTGTGACCACTGATGAAGGACTAGAGGATGACCAACACAAACTGTGCAGCAGCAGATGAGCTATCGTCTCTGACTTTACATCTACAAGGTGGACTGACAAGGTAGGAGTGTCTAATAGAGTGGACAGTGATTAAAAACTCCAGTTTAAAAACTCCAGCAGCACTGCTGTGTCTGAGTTTGTTTGTTTTGTTTCTTTCTTTCTTTCTTTTTTGCTATTTCATTCATTCCTTTGCTCAGTACTTTGCTTGTTTATTTGTTTGCTCTTTCTTTCATTCGTTCTTTATTTCTTTCCTTCTGTTATTTTGATCTGTTGTGCAGCTCATTCAAGTTTGAATATTTTGTAACATAGAAAAAAACAGGTCATGTGTGATGTGTTATTTAAGTAACGTATAGTAGAGATTTTAAAGTCACAGGTAAATCTGAGTGCAGTGAATCAGTGCGTTAGTGCTGTAGTGCTTTACTGTATTGATGATAGTTAAGCAGCTGAACTGTGACTGCAGCGCTGCTGTATTCATAAACGTCTCTGGATAACAGTTTCTAATCTACATGATTTATAAAGAAGCTAAGGCGGTGTGAACAGGCGCTGTCAGTGTAGCTCTGTCTCTCTCTCAGAAATGAATTAACATCAGTGACGCGCGAACACAATCTGAAACAGGCCTTGAGAGTGACTGCCTAAAAAAGAGAGAAAGAAGAGGAGGAAAAAAGGAAAATTACATCCATCCAAAGAGAACATTTCCTGAGGCATTAGCATTGATCAAAGGTCGGGAGAACAGAAAGCTTCTCGCTAATCTGGAGCTGAAAACCGTATAAGAGAGGATGCAGCAGATTAGCAGTGACAAAACCTGGAGGAGCAGAATATGTCAGCCGCTATTATACACTCATATACAGGACATTTTAACCCTTTACAGGTCAAATATATTGACATTGTCATTTTCCTTTGTTATTTCAATGTAATAACACAATTGTAGGATTAGTTACATAGTAGTTACATAAAGTAGATTTACATGTAATTTAGGTTATTTATCAACAGGTTTGAGACTTTTCTGATTGTTGAGAGTCAAGAAAAAAATGGCAAAAAAAATGGTTCTTTCTGCAAAAACAAGACAAGAACTTTTCATCAATTTCAAGATTTTTTTTATTACACACACACACACACACACACACACACACACTATATATATATATATATATATATATATATATATATAGTAGTAAATTATTACTATTATAAATTAGTAAAATTAGTAAATTATTATAGTAATTAGTTAATTATTATTACTTAGTAAACATGTACTAAGTTTATATCTTTTGAATGATGTTCCGGTGACCAATAAATGACTGATATATATTTCACCATATTTCTCTCCTCTTGATGTACCCTGGTAATCTTTGGTAGCGCTTCCATAAGCATTCCCCTTGACCAATCACATGGCTGTGTCTCTGGCCCCGCCCACACAAACCAGTTTCAGAGTCAAAGAAAATTAGCGAACTAAAGCTAACCCAACATAACCAACAGCTAGCAAGCTAGACCACCTGTCTGTGGCTGCCTGTTGCCCAAGCTGCTCATTAGCCACACCCACACAGTTCTCAGATAGGTCTCATTGGTGGTTTTTAAGCTGGATTTTTTTGTATTTAAATCTTATATTTGTCATTCAAGCCTTGCTGGATGTAACACTCAAGTTTAGTGTCAAACTAAATATTAAACAATGTTAATGTTTTACTCTGTGTTCCCTGGGACTTTAGACAGAGATGTAAAAATATACTAGAACAACCATAAAAATATAATGTGCAGAAATAAAGTATCGTACTTGAACACAATACATCATTGTAGCATTTACAGAAATACTTTCAGTGATTTCTCAACTTTTCAAGATATGAGTGAGAAGAACATTTACAACATGCTTTTGTTATTGCTGGTGATATCTTTGGCATGTATAAGTTAATAGATTTACTGGTTATTGTTATTGGCTCAGAAATGTCATATCAATGCATCCCTACATGAAACTCTGCTTTTTCAGTGCTCTGCATGTTTCAGTGGTTATGTTGTGCTTATGCGGCCTGGCTGCACTTCTCCTGGTTCGCTTTGTTCTGTTAGCTGTATAGTGAGAGTCTGATAGACCCTGTCTGTGGTCTGCACACAGCAACATGCGCAAAACACACACCAAACACAATATGACACATGCTGCCCCTTTAATGAATGGTTTCTATAGCAACCCCACAATTCTGCCTCCTGACTTCCCCATGCTCTGACAGTAAGGACTGGTAGAGAAGAAACTTAACAGCAGATAAACAGATCAAATGCAGGATTCAGGGGGGGAAGCCA